AAGTGGTCTGGGAGATGAGATGAGATAAGTTATGAAGTACTGACAATGCCAGAACACGTGATCCACAAACCACTGTACTCCAAATCCAGATACTCATCTTTCTCCAACCCAAAATAGCATTGTTTCCCCAAAAAATAAAATAGTTCCAAACCAAAGTACTATAATAAAGTTTCAACTCATTATCTACCAGCGTTCTGACTGTGTGTAACAAGATGCTTGCCCACCTTTCAGGCCCTGGACCCAAATCACCCTCCATATGGATTCTAAATACATGACACTGGATAAACCAACCTACCAATCTGATACTAAATGGGAAGAATAATTCCTAGGAGTTCCATTTGGCAGCATCCGTATATATTCCACATCTCCTCTAGTGAAAGCATAATCAACACATGTTGCATGAACTGACATTCCATTTTCAGACAGATTAGAAATATATGCAATATTGATGCTGAAACGGCAGAATGATATAACATTTTTTTCCAATAAAGGATCAGATTTATTATCATTACTCAAATATACCCAAGCTATTCACTGCCACATTTACAAAATACAGATGCTATGTAGTACCAAAACCTCTCAAGGCCAAACTCAATTAATTAAACGTGCCTACACGACTCCCGTTATATTCTTCTTATAAATATAACAACATTTCTGGAGATACTTTTAAGCTAGTTTGAACAACTTTTGAGATTAAACCTTGTTAAGTTTAATATTTTTAAAACTTTTTAAAAATTGTTTTGACATAATATCTGTTAACTACATATTATGTGATTCATTAAGGTGCCTTAGAAACGTGATTCATCCCTAGACTCAATCTCACCAGATATCATGGATATTGTCACTCAAGTCTCCAGGTCTAAACTCCATCATAATGAAAAAATATATACTGTATTCGAAGTAATGAGCGCCCCTGGCACTCTCAAAATTAGAAATAGGGGGCTCTTATTAGAATATTATTTTGGTAAAAAAAACAGAGTTGAAAGTTAAATTTCATGGTTATGCTGACAGCCTGAAATGTTTATGTACGACAGATATATTTTTCCAGAATTTAATTGCCCATAATTTAGGGTTCATATAACACACGAGTGAGTATTATACACGAATAAATTAGTCTTGTGTACATTGATCAATCAGAAGGGGTTCTAATTGGGATTGTTCACCATGAGCAAATGTCATCGTGGGCGCTTATTACGTCAAATACAGTAATGACTGTCTCAAAACCCCACAACAATACTCACATCCTACATGACCCAGATTATAAGTTTATCAGATGAAAGCTTTCCATAATATGCACTGGTTGATTAATAGCAACTGTCAGAAATCTCATATCAAAGACATTTACCAAATATGAGAAAACTATATCAAACTGACCCTCCAGCTCATTGACAGCAAAATTCATCATACAAAATGTCTGCTGCCACTAGACAAACTGTCTGAATATTATCCAAGACTGGACTAGCATCTGAATGTAACCTGTCAAATGAATCTTATTCACATACTTGTACCTCAAAATAATAAAAAACATATCGTTTTCAAGTGGCTACAATACATTTATTGTTTTTATGTTCAAAAATCATGATACTAGATGCTCCAACTTAAACAATTTTGACAGGTTTATGATGTATCATCAGTATAATTTCATGGATTTGTATACGCTGCGTTCCTCCACCACCTGCGAATACATAAATGTTTTGAAGTGTGGTAGTGATGTGTATCTGACAGTCTAGTTTCAGACATCCATTGAAATGAGACCATTAATAACTCGCAGAGTGAGTGAGTGAGTGAGTGAGTGAGTGAGTGAAACAGGTTTAACGCAGCTTTTAACAGTATTACAGTTATATCGTAGCGTGTCAGCTTAATGTGGGATGAAAGCCCGAAGTGATGCAGGTCTCAGACGTTAACCACTTCGGTGAAACCCACGAGCACGGGTATGGTGCTGACAAACCTAGAAACATAATCGGGGCAAACCGGGATTCAAACCAACAACCATAGGTTTCTGGCATGCCCAAGGGACGCATCTCTGCACAGTAAATCACAGCACCGGTGCCCCCAATAACTCACAGAAATCACATGAACCCCTTCACTGCCAAAACCTAAAGCTATGTGTAGAGCAGCTTGGTGTATGGCGACGACACAGGTTTCACAAGAAATCTTGCTGTTTGTGTGATGTTTGTTTGTTTATTGTTTAACGCCACACTCAGCAATATTCCAGCTATTTGACGCTGGTCTGTAAATAATCAAGTCTGGACCAGACAATCCAGTGATTGACAACATGAGCATCGATTCACGCAATTGGGATCGATGACATGCATCAACCAAGTCAACGAGCCTGACCACCTGATCCCTTTAGTCGCCTCTTACGGCAAGCATGGGTTGGTGAAGACCTATTCTATCCCGGATCTTCACGGGTGGTTTGTCTCATGTAATCTGATTGGTTTGAGCACTTGCTCTTTTCCTCTCGCTTAAAACAAGCTGTGTCTCGATTTGTTAGAAAAGGGGCACAGGTGGCCATTCAGTCATCTGAGGCAGCACAGCTCACTGTGCAAAGTTGCGTGACAATGGGCACACCAGAAACCAATGACAATGGATTCGATTCCCGGTTTGCCCTATAATGTTTCTAGGTTTGTCAGCACCATACCTGTGCTCGTGGGTCTGGGACCTGCATTATTTGGGGTTTCCTCCCACATTAAGCTGGAGGAATGAAGTTTATACCAACCTGTGACATGGATCCAATGTTTCTTTGTTGATTTGTTTGTTGTTTAACGCCACACTCAGCAATATTCCAGCTAAATGATGACGGTCTGAAAATAATTGATTCTGGACCAGACAATCAAGGGATTGACATCATGCGCATCAATCTACACAACTGGGATACGATGACATGCATCAACAAAGTCCTGTAAGTCCTCACCACCCAATCCTTTAAGTTGCCTCTTACAACAAGCATGGGTTGCCGAAGACAAATTCTAATCTGGAATCTTCAGGGGAAAGATCCTAATACTCATCTGGCCAATTGTTGTTATTGACAACAATTTCATTGACATCCTCTGAACAACGTTACATCACATACTTCATCTTTCATTCATTGCTAATTTCACCATCAATTTATTCAGTTTAAGTATTTACAACTGTATAGAGAACATTTAATGAAAAAAAACTTAAGCATAATAGGTTAGACAAATTTCATGGAAATATTTGTTTAAAATTTAGGCTTTGAACATAAACACATGTATATATTTTCCAAAGATATATGATTTGATGAGTTATCCTTAGTGGAGAAAGTGTAAAACAGAGTATTTCTACAACACTGTGGCATCAGTGATATCACTTGAGGAATTAGGCCATCAAACACGGTTTCCAAATTACTATAGACGGTACTGAAACTATTCAGTTTTGTTGATTCCCCTTGACATAAGCTGATATTAAATTGAAGATTGGGTAATATCCCATAACAACACCATGAAGCACTTTAAGCCCTCCTTGTTTGCAATCCTATCTGGCCTATCTAGAACCTGCCACATGGCATTAGTGATAGACATGACCATGACAACAAGCCTTTGACCACACACACACACATCTTGTCAGCATTACCAATAGGAAATATTAATGGACATCCCCAAAACAAGATAAGACAATCAACTATCCAGTAAAACAAGTAGACAAGCCTTATTTCCAGGAATATCTTAACCCACAATACTATCTGATCCAAATAAATCCTGTTGGATTCAAATGATCCATTTATTTAGCAAGCAGCAAAAAGAAGTGTTGAAGGTGATGTGGTTTTGAGACGATGTCATTGTTCTTGAGGGCAATAAGTGTGTGGCCATCGTGCTCAGCAGTGGTTCATGATGTTTGCTGGCAATGGCTGCTCATAGAGTTCCTTTTAGACAGCTATTTCTGAATCCCTGACTGGCACATGGCAGAATTATAGATTTATACATCAATCCCTTTTCAAATTATCTTGTGACAAATTTGAACTATAATTGTCCTATTCCTGAATCAGAACATGGTTAAACAAATCACACATTTTGTAGATGTCTTATTTTCAGGATCTATAATTTAAGTATATTGATCAATTTTTCATGTAAGATATTATAAATATTTATTTTAACTGCATCACTCTGTTCAAATATGGTCTTCATGATAATATGGTTTTCATGATAATATGGTCTTTGTGATAATATGGTCTTTGCGATAATATGGTCTTCATGATAATATGGTTTTCATGATAATATGGTCTTTGTGATAATATGGTCTTCGTGATAATATGGTCTTCGTGATAATATGGTCTTCTGGATAATATGGTCTTCATGATAATATGGTTAAAGAAAATGAGAGGACGAAGAAGCTTATTCCTTGCCAATGATTCAGAAGAGGTTTGAGCCAATGACCTCTGAATAACACAATGACCCTGACCTGTCCACTGGTCCAAATAATCATAACATATAGCAAAACCTTCATAATGGCAAATTTCTACATCCTTATCATACCTTAACTATTAGGCAGTTTGGAAATGACAAGTGCCAATTTCTAACGCTGAATATGGGTCCCATTGCCTTATATTTGCAACCGATTTCACAAATTCAACACCAAGTAGTTGACATGAAATCAAAAGCAAGAAAATCTAAAGAGATACAATACAGAATGGGTCACTTAACAAATGCGAGCAAGAGACACTCGCATTATATCATCAATTTCATGCTCACACGAATGTCATGATTTACGGTATTCAAATCAATCTGAAGCTCTGTCCACAAGGGGCAGTGAGGTAGGTAGCCTAGAGGTCATAGTGTTTGCTCGTCATCCCGAAGGCCCTGGTTCAATTTCTCCACATGGGTACAATGTGTGAAGCCCATTTCTGGTGTCCCGCCACATTCTGGAATATTGCTTAAAGTGGAGTAAACCCATACTCAATCACTCACTCACTCAACCAACCAACAGATCGCCACTTTGGAGGACTCTTGCAACAAACATGGAGGTGTACTAAGATGTCTGACCTGATGTTGTGACACGTCCATGTGTGGGACATAAATCGGCCAACTTTCTCATCAGGAATGTCTTCACATGTGACATTGCGCTCCAGAACTAAGCTGTGCTTGGGGAAGGACTTGTCTGCAATGAGAAGAGGTTTATTAGGCAAGTTCATGATGATATTGTCATTAATTTCAAAAACATGTGTTAACATGCAGGGTTGGTATCAAGGTTATACTGGCAATGGGTGACATTTGTCATTTTTCGCAGGTTTTGTTTTGTTTGTTGTTTGTTTAACGCTGCAGTTCCCAATATTCCTGCTATATTACAGCAGTATGAAAACAATCGAGATAAGACCACACAAACCAGTGATTGACATCATGAGCATCGATCCACGCAATTCGGATACGATGACATGCATTAACCAAGTCAGGGAGCCTTTCCACCCAAGCATAGTCACCTTTTACGACAAGCACTGACTGCTGAAGACCAATTCTAACCCAGATCTTCACAGGTCTTTTTCGTGAGTGGTTTCTGTTTAACACCATTCTTTTTAATGCTATTTATCACTGTGTGTGTGTTACCTCTTACAACCAGCATAAGTTGCTGAGGAGCTACTCAATCCCATTAAAATCACATCTTAGTTCTCGCTGTCGCTAAACAAAGATCTGAGGACATCCCATTACGTGTCACGTCAAAATGACCTTTCATCCGACCAATCAAAGCGTCGCTTACCAGATCATGAAAGTGACAGTCGGAATGTGTTTTCTAATCATGCAACCTCGAAAACGTTAACACGGGGTATTCCGAACGACTGTTACGGCCCGTATGAGTGATTCCATCAAAATTATCATCTCTCTCTCGCTTCCGTGGGATAAACATTTGAACGGAGGAGGTATTGCACAGTACGTGGGAAGCACTGCCATACAATCGCAACCATATATTAGACATTCCGGAATGTTCTTTTGTTCAGTTTTCAAAATTTAAATCGAGAACTGTGTAAACATATTTTTCAAGCGTAGTCTGAAAGGGAAGTCGCAAAGTAAGTAAAAAATTTCAAATATCTCCAACTCAATTGCATAATTTTATCATTTTTTTGCTATTTCATGTTATGTAACATACATACATGCACACTTAACAAGCATATTTGTGGACCTTCCTGTTAAAAAAAAACTATAATGAAAGCTTAATGACTGTTGCTCGCAGCTACAACATAAAGACGTCATCAGAGGAAGTGCTGCCGACAAGTCTGTCTTGCGATGTGACACGGTTCTAACTTACTCCCACGAAAATCAGAGAAAGTATGTGAAAATCAAGTAGTCCAAACTCATGCCTTAGCTCTTCCATCCATCAGTTCCAATCTCATTAAAATCAGATCTTAGTTTTCGCTACCGCTAAACAAAGATCTGAGGACATCCCATTACGGGTCACATCAGAACGACCTTTCGCGAATTTTGACCGACCAATGAAATGACTGACAAGAATTCGACATTAGCCAATCAGAAGGCAGCTTTCTCGAGCTTTACGACACTAGTTCCAAACTGGCGACTATGCTTCGAAACATATTATGACGTATTCTCGATTAAAAAAAATTAAAACTGATAAGAAGAACATTCTGGAATGGCTTATAGATGGCCTAGACTGTATGGATATAATCATAAAACCCATAACTGTCGTTCGGAATACCCCATGTTAAATATTTCGTGGTTGCATGATTAGAAAACACATTCAGACAGTCACTTTCATGATCTGGTAAGCGACGCTCTGATTGGTTGGATGAAAGGTCGTTCTGAAGTGACCCCTACTGGGATGTCCTCAGATCTTTGTTTAGAGACAGCGAGAACTAAGATCTGATTTTAATGAGATTGATACAGTTCTGTCCTGTTTGCCGATGAGCCACTGCCAGTCTCAGGCCATGAGTCAGCAGGTCAATTTAGTCCAGATTGAAGACTGTTCAAGGGAACACAGTATGTTTGTGATGCAAACTTAGCCTACTGGCTCGGCATCTGAATTGTTTGTTTATGGTTACATGTCACTGCCTTGGTTCAAGCTGGGCAAAGGGTGAGGAACTCTGAATGTCTTCTGACCAAATGTTACTGACCAGGGCGCCGTTGTACAAGGGATCTTCAGTTATGTGAGCGCAAAGGCGGTCGTAACTCTGACACTTAACATAGACTTACGACAGTCATAGTGCTACAGCTGTTTTGTAAAACGGCACCCTGGACCCACTTGCACAAAGCAAATCTTAGACTATCATAAGCTTATATTAACGTATTGGAGTTACGATCATGAAGACTCTTAGCGCTAAAATCGCTTTGAGCAAGTCACAGGCCTGGACAGTTTTTATGACAAAACATGAACCTTATAGATAGGAATAATTTGTGTATACTACACCACTAAATTAAATGTAGATTTACAAACACACTGATCAGGACATAATAAAACATATGATCATATATCTTCATATATATTATTTTGTATTAGGAGACACATGATTCTCAAAGATCTTAAAGCTAAAGAATATGTTGATTTTCTTATTATAACATTTGATGTCTGTTTGGTTACCCAATTCAAGTATCTTGTAGGATACTCAGAAAGAAATGATAAAACAAATTGCATTCTCATTCATTATTATTTAATTATTAAATGATTTTGCAAACAAATTATTTAGAATCTTGAAAACTTAATCAATTGCTTACACTATTCCTATTGCATAGTGAACTCAGCAGCCATCCTGCTTGATATGAACAATAGTTATCACTGTTTATAATTCTAAGAATACTAGTGACCTCTATTACATCTGAGGAGTACTCCCACCCACCTTCCCAATTCATCTATCAAGATCTATCGATCTAGATGTTATAAAGAAGTGAGGTTTCCCGCCATTATGCACGTCATAGCTTGGGTTGCTATAATAGTGCTATTTGGGGAACAACTAATTGTGTGTAGTTGACAGTGAAGAGTTTGACTGAAGCCAAAATACAGGATTTATGGCAAAGATGTAATAGAGGTAGAGGATTCACAAGAATTATACACCTTGTGATAAACAATCAGTGTCTGTACACCTCTTAGTAGTAGTGGAGTATGACACTCCAACACATGTCCCTAATTACTCCAACATGTACCAAACAGTGGGTAGCATTAATAACATCCCATTATTACATACAATGTCAACCTGACAGAAAATATCAGCTGTCTTTTTCAGCATGCACCGACATTCTCAGACGCTTGTCAGGGAGACATCCAGCTGTGTATATCAAGTTCTCAGAGTGAGTCTGAAACCTGGTTTTGAACCCTAATTGCGCTACATCCCAGACATAGGTTATTGACATATTTGAGTTATATATACTCAGTCTGTGCCAAAATCATTTATGTCTACCATGTAGTACCAGGAAAATATTTGTCCTTCCGCATACTTTTCAGAGATCTTGCTCCTTTACAAATGAGCAATCATATCGGCTTAAGCTTCTGGTTTAGTTAGACTCACACAATTAACTTTGCTTTCAGCAGAGATTTCTTATGATTATTACCATGACTGTGGAATATATATATTTTATGAAAACAAAACCAACCTATATATATATACAAAAGAAAGTCAGCTCTTAGTCAGCAGGGGCGGTCGGGTAGCCTAGTGGTTAAAGCGTTCGCTCGTCACGCCAAAGACCCGGGTTCGATTCCCGACGTGGATACATTGTGTGAAGCCCATTTCTGGTGTCCCCCGCCGTGATATTGCTGGAATATTGCTAAAAGCGGCGTAAAACCATACTCACTCACTCACTCTTAGCCAGCGTTATTCCACTGTCATGCCACCTTTGAGAGAGCTAGGGCCTGTCAAAAAAGTGACCTGTATTTATGTCGTGTACAAATGCTGTACATGAATACCATTATCCAGGTCACCGTTCAAACCGACTGATACTCATTTGTCAGTTTATACAGCTATGTGGTACTGTGAAATATTCTGCCTTGGAAACCTGCAGACAAATTAAGGAAAAAAACAGCAGGAATGTGATTATACACAGAATAGAATCGGGCAGAAATCTAACTTGTGATTCTCAGAGCTCCAGATAAGCTGAGTATCTGCGTAAAATACGCATCAGAAATGCAGAAATATGCAGTAAAATAAAATCCAAGCATATCAAATACGCAATGAACATTACAGAGAAGCTACAAAAATAAAACTTGTGCGTATCATCAAAATATTGTGAAGTAGCCCTGCATATTCGTTTAGCAAATCAGCAACTTATTTTGAAATTATAAACGGGCATTCTGTCAACCTTGCCAAACTCCAAGATGACAGTTACATCATGATCATTTGCCATCACACTTTCTTGTGGAAGTATCGTGGTATTTTTGAGTCCTATAAAGCTCTCGAACCCACACGACGCCAGTTTGCAGGGACTAGATGAATAGTGTTGTTAAATATTTAACTTAAATACCCACATGTGTAAAAACTAGTGAGTAACAGAAATTTGAATACCCAGATAGAATTACTGATACCCAATGACTTTAAAATGCATGGGTAAAATACCCACAACACCAAAAGCTTATCTGGAGCTCTGGATTCTATAAATAAAGATGACCTTTTAAAAAGAATTTCTAAGACTTGTGCAAAGCTGTTTAATTAGTGAAGACCATGTGCATCATTTCACAGTGCCCCACAACATAAACATTTCACTTAATATACACACACATACAAACGCTTGACAAGAAATGACTAAGCTGGTTAAGCCAAACTGTGCATGGAGTTTTAACCTGAACTGTTTAGGAGTCTGTGCACTGAGAACACTTCGGTACTGAAGTCACCAATCTATTTCATTTCCTTAACATTACTGATCAACCCTGCAAATATTGGTTTCCATGACAACAAAGATTACATTTCCTCTACAACACAAGCACTGAGCCACCACTGCAAGAACTTTAACGATTGAATCCTTACACAATGAATTATGCAATGCAAAAATCAATCGAACATTAGCTTTTCCAGCCTTACTGTATATAAAAATATTCTAGAATACTAATGACACATGATGTTTTACAATTTCCTGAAAGAATACACAATAAGAACACCAGAGAATGGATCCTGTTACAATTACAGGTTTTTAAATGCTGTGGGAGAGAGAAGGAAAATATCATTTTTAGCT